GGGGGGGGGGGGGAGGGGGGCTCTACCCCCCAATTTCGTTTTTTGGTAATCCATGTCCATCCCTGTCATCCGAAGCAATAGACGATAGGAAACAGCCAAGTTTTTGAAAGAGATTAAACAAATAGAATGATATTGCCCCTTTAGCTAAAAGTGCTATTTTCCAGTGAACCATCTGACAGTCCCAGAGATCCCTTATTGCTATTTAACCGTACTCGGTTTTAGCTTAAAAATACTAAAATTAAACTTTACTGAATAAACTACTCCACAAGAATACAATATTATAACCTTTTATTGAAGTCACTTGTGAAAATACCACATGAGTTTACAACTTCATCGAAGCTACATAGTCCTTGGTAATGGCTCCCAAAATGGCCGATATCTGTTACGACCGAAATACAACTTCTTCGTTTGTCTCAGGCCCCTTAGAGTCTCAATCCAAGTTCGGAGTCCACATTACTCTGAATCAGCCGGGTAGAGAACCTTATGACTCACGGCCATAGTGGCTGACTCTCACAACGGAAACGAATTATCTTTCTTTCAGTCGACTTACCTCATCCTAGGTCTCTCTATTTGCACAGTTGTAAGATATGTGGGTACGTGTGATCTTTGCCATAGACAAAAAGAAAATTATAAATGAACGATCAGCATCCCTTTGTTCATTTTCCGATACGACGGGTCACATGGTCATTAAATTGCTCTCTAATACGATAGTAAGGTTTCATTTTTTAACACTTGAAGGCAAGCGGTTTGAAAACGAGGGGTCGACTCCGTCGGTTGCAAATTAGGGAAAGGAATGACTGAAACTAACTGCACATGTGCTGGACTGATCATTCTAACATCTGCTGAACAGGATCTGCGCAGTGGGCCTTGTGCATGCGTTGGCCGGGAAGGTTGAACGGTAGGGCTAGAGCCTGGGAACGAGGCCATCAGTTTTGGTTGTGAAACAGGTTGCGATATTTGTATCAGAGGGGTGGGAGATGACGTCACTGCAAGAAACCTTGTCGCGCTTGTGGGATACGTTGGGGATGTTAAAGAGAGGTCTGTTGTACTGAGGCAGCCTAATAAATAAAAATGGAAAAAATCACAAGTGAAATATCTGGCAATTAATTCCGTTCCCTTGATTTTGCACCAAAAACCTAAAAGACGAAGATCTAAAGTAGGTTCTCCCAATGCCATCTATATTTATCTTTGGACAGTAGTAACTTGTAGGAGTGGTATGAGTTGTGACACCATGTTCACTATTTTTTACTATAAGATCAAGTAGTAAAAGCTAAGTAGATAGAATGAAGGTTATACCCAACTCTGCCCTTGCGGACACCTGGCTACAATGGACTCCCCGATAATACGGACAGCAGCTTAATTCCAGGCAAAATAAATTGAAGACGTTTGACTGAAATAAACTCCCGTTATTACGGAGTCTAACTAATGAAGACACTAACTCGTGTCCCTACAGTGTCCGCTGTAAAGGAAGTTGATTGTACTTGGCCAAACTGCATCTCATAAGGGGCACTTTGAATATGAATTGAGAGTTGTAGAGGGGGGGCCAAGTGATACGACTGGTATACGAGTCGTGCAACTCGGAAATTGCACCGACTACATCTCACTATTTAGGACACTTGGAATCTGGTTGGCAAGTCATTTAGATTGGGGAGGGGGACTTGGGTGTTATGTGACTATGACAATAGAAAATCAGACATGAGTTTGATAAGCGATATTTGTTAAAGCAAACTGTCAAAGTTTGAATCTCTTCGACCAAATCAACCTCCTTCATAGATCTCGATCCCCAAGGCTGCGTCCAGATGGCCGATTTAACAATTATGCTCTTTTGGACAAGAGCTATAATGATGGAGCAATTAACTCAAATACATATGGTGATATTCTTTCATTTTTTAATGGTCGACCAACAGCAATTAAAAAAACGAGAAAGAGGCCTGTTGTAATTAGTGTGGACATTCATGGCGCCCCCGATCTAGCCTGTGCCAGGCTCTCAGGTAGTATAGTGGGGACGTATTAAACGAGCAAAGCGAAAATAAGACGCGCGCGACTTGGCAAAGGGGGCGGTGGCGGCGCGTTTTCTTATTTTTGAACGACTTTTCACTTTCACAACGATCTAAGATAAAATTTGTCTTTTTGGTGTCTCAATTGCTAATTACTCTCATTTTGGAAACTTTCCTAGCATATCTTGCATTTAATTTTATCTTTGCGATTAATTGTGGTGGATGTATATATGCGTCGTTGAGCAACAGGTATAAAACATCTTCGTAAGCTTACTTCTCAGAATCAAATTTAAACATGAATAACAGGACAGCAAGGACCAAGGCGACTTGAATTTTCGCGATATTTCGGACGTACAATCCGTCCTTCTTCAGGGGTCTTATGAAGAAACGGATAGACAATTTGTTTTATATTGCGTTAAGATAAAAGCCAAGAGCGAATCAAGGCACCTCTTGGTCTCCAAAAGATAGGACAGAAAGAGAAACGGATCAAAAGAGAAAAACTCTTGTTAAACATTCCAGTTACGTACCGATGTGAAATTTGTTAAAATGTATGGCAGATAGAGTGGTAATTGTATCTCTATTCAAGTTGCTTAGTCCAAATGCTTATTATTCCGGGCAGCCTACGCTTTTCTGGTGACGTGGTCTGAGCGTCAGCGCGCAAACTGCATTGACCGAGAGGGCTTGAGGAAGACGCTGTACGGGGACCAGGCAAGTACATAAAGTAGCCTGAATTTCATCCGATTTCTTCGAGTCGTTATTACTCTCTCAGTAACGACGTTGCTGAGAGGAGAAAAACGACTCGAAGCAATCGTATGAAATTCAGGCTCATACATAAAGTACATTCCTCTTATTCTGAACTGCAGACTAAAGGTACGTCTTAAGCCAAATATACATATCTTTAAGAGTTAAGGTAAGATGGAGAGCAAAATAGCAATTATGCACGAAACAAGTTCTTCAACATGGGGGAAATATCCGCTGATGAAGTCAAGCGCTTGCGGTACTGCGAAAGGAGATGTGATAGCAGAGGGCGGCAATAAAGAAGCTCTTTTTATCCGCACTGGAATTCCTCCGGCCCTCGCGGCGTTAGCGGCTTCCCCCGCCTCTCGCGTTTTCTCCGCGGCATGCGCGTGATAGTAACATTCTCAAACGAAAAATCTTCTTTCATAAACAAAATTCTGTTGTCCAACATTTTGCGTGAAATTCAGCTGGTTTACATACGGTTGCACGCTATGAAATCGGACAGAATGTCTCAAAATTTCAATTCCATTTAGTTCGCACGAGTTAAAGAATGTTACTAGGAGAAGCCGTCTCTAGAACT